CCCTATGTTTCCCTTCCAGATTTATTCCCCCCCCCCTTTCCCTATGTTTCCCTTCCAGATTTTCTCAACCTCTTATCTGTCGCAACTTAACAGTTATTATTATTAAGCTTTCATTTATTTTTAGGGGGAAGGGGGGGGGGGGTCCACACCTGGCTTCAGTCATCTTCTCCTGTAATGCAGCCATCCCGGGCATGTTGTTGTTCATGTTTACCATGTTCTTCTGGGACATAACCACGAAGGGGAAGGTCATCATTCTCATACACAAGGCAGTACAAAGAATCGCTTGGTACCATTCAAGACCTGAATATTGATTAAACTTAAAATTTAATTTTTTACATTAACAAAACCAAAGTATATACAGTAGGAAACAAACATAATAAGAAGAAGACTGTTTATTTAGTCGAATGGACACTTAACACTGCTATTGCGCAGTGTAAACAGACTCATTTCAATATATAGGTTGATAATCAACCAACTGTATAACAGCATCCTACATTATCTATATAATAAAGCTCTTTGCTCATATTTATATATCTATATATAAATTTGGCTTGTCTGTCTGTTTGTTTGTAAAATTATAAAAAACAGTTTGTTTTTATTTTCTATTTTGTTTATATTTTACCTTATAAAAAATCTTGTTTTATTTCGTAAGTAAATTAAATTACCAAGATCAACGTGAAGATACTCCATAAATATCTGAAGACGACCGGAAGGCCACCAGGATCCTAAGCCTAGAGAATCGAAGGCCGGCTCCCCCAATATTGCGGTTGGATCAAGAGGAACTGGTTTTTCAGGCAAAAAATCTAGAATTATTTCTTTGGTTTCATCCGATGGCATTGTCTCAGCAGAAGCAGCCTCTGTTGTGCTTACAGCTCCTTCGTTGGATGTATTTGTAGCTGAAAGAACTACATCTGAAGAATCAAGTGTGCTTTCAGAACTAATTTTTTCAGATATATTTAAAGAAGATGAAACTTCAATAGATTCTGTTAAATTATTGTGAATAGCTGTTGAGGTTTCTCCTCCTAAATCTTGAAATCGAAATCCTGAAACACTGAAATTTCTCCTGCTGATAAAACATGAGGAAATGATGCTTTCTGTAGGTTTGAGGTTGATTCGTGCATTATTATTTTCAAAAATATTTGACTTTGTGCACGCACAGCCTGAATATGCACTAAAGTTCCGAAACTGATGTTCTATTTTTTTAATATTCACCAAACTCCTTCCCAACTTCAAATACATTTTTAATTCTGAAACCAAATTTTAGATTCGATTAAAATAATAAAATCAATTTCTCTATTCATTACAAATGCTATATGTTTAAAAATCACAATATTTAAAATAAATTTTGCAAAAATTTGTTAAATCAAATGTCAATCAACATTTAGAATTGACAGTTTTACGCAAGGACGAATTTTTGATATCCTTTTCATATAATAATAGAAGTTTGAAGTTTGCGTCTGTAAGCTGGCTGTCAAGTGGCTTCTAAGCCTCTGTAAGCTGACTGTCAAGTGGCTTCTAAGCCTCCTCCCTGTTTCTAAACTGAATATGAAGAGGCGTGTCTGGGAATAAAAGGGTGTGGTAGATCTGGTTCACAGCTGGTTCGTCAGGAACACTCAACTTAAACCTAAAATAAAACGACTATAGAAATTACTTGAGTCTAGTCTCACGAGGAGAGGAAAGCAAGCGGAATCGTGCTGACTCCATGTACTTCCGACCACTCGTAGCTTTTTGCATCTGACGATTAATTTCTTTATTTTCAACAAAAGACTATAATTTTTCTTTTTTAAACTGTTTACTTTGAAATGACTCTACCTTGAAAAAAAATGTATTTTCTTACCAAACAACTTTAAACCTAACTCTGTCTCTTATTTTACACAGGATTGTTTATTTTGAAAAATTATTTTTAAAGACCTTGAGAAAAAAGATTGAACATAAAATAGCATATATACCCCCCTTTTTTAATACTTTTTATCCCCAAATAAAAACAGAATTAATCACATATTAATTCATTGCCTACTTTAAAATTGTCTACCCAAGGTGGTTTAATGAGGTTGCTTACTCTCGATGACGTCACTCTCGCCTTTGTAACCAGTGACATCTGATGAGGTTTTTATCTATCTATCTTAGGAGACGAAATTTTCCGTACATTTGAGCGCATCGAGAGTAACCCAGCTTATTATACAACCTTGGTGTACACCCCAGATTGCTCAACTGGCAACAATCCTGACAATAACGACATAAAGAATAAAGATCTACCTGACAATAACGACATAAAGAATAAAGATCTACCTGGCAATAACGACATAAAGAATAAAGATCTACCTGACAATAACGACATAAAGAATAAAGATCTACCTGGCAATAACAACATTAAGAATAAAGATCTACCTGGCAATAATCCTGGCAATAACAACATAAAGATCCTGTTCAGCAAACCTGCGACCTAAGAAATAAAACTTATTGGGAATCTATTTATCCAGCTTAATCAATTTTATCAATCACATTTTTGAAAATCCCCCTCCACCCTTTTAATATAAATGTTTTTATCCAAAATATACAAAACTGTCATGCAAGTAAAAAAAATGAAAGTTTTTTCCACTGATTAATTAAATTAAAAAAACCCCAGCAATTTTACGTAGTATTTACCCCCCCAGCTTCAAAAATCATTTCCCCCTTCACCTCCTTCCACCTAAAATGAAGGCCCTGGCGTGCCTCCTCTTGAACATTTTCTTAAAAATATTGATTTTTGTATATTTGTCTTACCTGCACACATTCTAGTGCCATGCCCGAACGGAGTGAGCAAATACGGATGTATATTCTGTTCAGCATCTTCTCTTAACCATCTTAATTAAATATATATATATATATAAAAACTGAACAGAGTGAGTAAATACGGATGTATATTCTGTTCAGCATCTTCTCTTAACCATCTTAAATAAAAGCTTTATATGTATTCAATTAATAGGGAGCGAGCAAATTTTTGTATTTTCTAAAGTTTTTCTGACCAAGTTGTCTTCGTTTGCTATAAAAACAGGGTGATAATCTGTCACACTTATATTTGGGATTGAAAATGAGTGACGTGCAATAAAAAAGTTTAAGAATTTTCTACCATAAATTTTTTATTTGAGTTCATATTTTAAGAACATTTTTAAGGCGTTTTTTTCGTACTGTTTAGATAGTTATGAGAATCCTTAGCAGATGAGAGGGGGAGGGGGGAAATAATTACCCCCTGTACCTTTCAGGCAAGTGTTTGCTTGGGTTCGGGAAAAGGTGAGGATCCATGAAATGAACGGACGGATTCAAATCAACATGGGTTCCTACTCATCGAATAAATATTATTCAAATGATCAAATTATCAATTTCATCGTTTTTAGTTTTTTTTATCAACTTCTCGGCCATATACTTTACAATTGCAATCATCAATATTAGATTTGTGTATCCAAGTATCCCGAAAGAAATTAAGTAATTCAATTGAATTAATTTTAATTCGTTGTTAAAAATTTAGCTATTCAAAACCAAATATCCTTTAACTACTTTTACTATGGTATAAATCAAAACAAAACCAATCAAACCAAAAATGACCATAAATGGCGAAGAATAACCATAAAAGGTCATAAATTACCATTAATTTCCATAATTGACCATAAATTACCATAAACATATAACCATAAATGGCAATAAACGATCAAAAATGACCATGAATGAAAATCTAATAGTACTATTTATTCCTGCAGGAATCTGAAATCCAGACAAACTTATATCCTCCTCCAGATATCTTGACACCTAATCAAAAAATAAAGTTTTAAGAATAAATTGGAAAATATTTTTATAACACCATTTTATGGAGGGTCAATGATGTTAAAAAAAATTATTTTTATTTTTCATTTTTGTACTTTTCAGTTTCAGACTCAGCAAATAAATATTTTTAATGGTTACCTCTGTTCCGTTTGGATACATTCTAAACGTCTCCTTCACAAATGCCTGCAAAACAAATAGCTTGACAATTTGCAATCAAATGCAACAAATTATTAAATCTAAGATATCAAAAGATTGAGACTGAGAGATTTGAATTTATTAATTCAAAGCTTTGCTTGTTCCAGCGATGNCATTCCGACCATGTAGCTTCTATCCCGCAATTAACTCATAAACGCGAAACTATGTGTATGATTCAACTTCGGGATGGAAGCTAGATGGGGTTTCCCCTCCATCTTCCAGCCTTTAATGAACCGGTGTTTCAACACAATTTTATACATCAAAATCAATATTATGACACTTGCCGATGTTTGTTGATATATTTAGATTGGACAAAACAGATCACAAATTATCTGTGTTTCGAAAAAAACTTGATTTTTTAATTAATTGAAAGGAAGACGACAGTTCAGGGAAAATAACTCTTTCTGCGTTTTCTCCCATTTAATGATACATTTTAGAACTTAGTGTGCATTTATTTATGTAAACTGATTATTTTAAATGTTTTACATTTCTTTAACTGTCTAGAATTGTGTTGAATTAATGAAAACTTTAAGGGGAGATGAACGGTCGCAAAGGAGTTGATTTGATGCAGTACACCGGGTAGGTAGAAGCCTTTAGGATAAATATAGATGATTTTTGCTTTATCAATATGATGAATACCTTTAGATACGGTAGGTTAGCAAGTGCTTGAACTGTGGCTGGAGAGGATAAAGGAAGATTCTTCTCAACTTCTTGAAATACCTTCTCTTGTACTTCAGGGTTTCTAACCAGCATTCATATCAATATCTTTTAAAGCTTTTTAAACTAAATTATTACATTTCCCGGAAGTCCCCTCCCTTCCTCCGAAAAAGGACAAATTGGTAAAAAATGCACATCCTTCAAGGACTGATATCAAATGATTTAATCATTTAAAACGTTACAGAAGATAGAAGATAGATAGAAGCTATTCACATTCAACAACGATACCCTTTGAATCTTTCACAATAATGAATTTTTTGTTGTTGTCTTTACTACATATATAGTCAATTTTACAGAAAACCGCAATTGAAATTATCAATTTTTATTTGTGTTTTTGCTTAAAAAAATGTTTTAAGGGTACCATAGTGAACTTTAAAAATAAAGGGTCACTTAGGTCTACTGTCCTATTGACCCCCCCCCCCACTAAAAAATATTAGTAAACGATGATATGAATGTTCCTGGCTAAAGCATAAAGATTAAATAGAAGGGTTGGTGTGGTGGTAGATAATCCATCAGTAAACAATGATAAACAAATAACTGTTACATCCTAAAAAAAAAAATAATAATCCTAAAAATAACTCAGGTCGACATTCGACAATCATATGCCTGAAAGTCTGCGTGGGCGCTAAACCGCAAAAAATGTAATATTTTCCCCTCTGGTTAACATAAGAGATATCCAGTTCGACGTAGGAGGGCAATACTACCACTTTAGCTAGTATTTCAAAAAATGTCGTATTTTCTTTATACCTTTAAATCCAGTGAATCCCTTGATATTAGGTAGGATAGAAAATATAACTGAGAAGGAGACAGAGTTCCCTTCTCTACTCCAGCAGTTAATCTAAAAAAACTGTCTTATAATTTATCTCACAAGATATCTTCAATGCGAATATAACAAACTAGGCTTGTTGCGCTTTTCTTATTTTTTTTTGTTTTTGACTGGTGCTTTTCTAACAAAAATTTTCGTTGATTTATCTCTTTAAATTGGTAGATTTTCAAGAATCGTATTTTCCCATGGGGTCATGTGATCGAGTTGCCATAAAAATGTAAGGCCCAATTGGTTCGGCCATTTTTACGTTAATTGGATACAAATAATCAAACAGACAAGTCAAATTTTTATAATGACAAAGGATTAGTATATATTACAATCTAAAAGTATACCCCCCTTCCATTTTGGGTCGATTAAAAGCTCATCAGAAAAAGTTTTTAAATTCTTTGTTCTTAACTATTCTAAACTTGTTTACCTCAGCAATGCTTCATCGACGAGAGATATTGCTTCTGAGTAGAATGAATCCTCCGCGGCAACAAGCTTACGCCATTTTGGAGTAGATAGGTACTAAATACATACTTCAATTATAAATACGAGTTGAAAACCTTTTAGAATATCCAAATGTAAAAAATACCCGGATTAGAGAATAAAGGGACTGTAAACGTAATTTCAAGTGACACTACAATTTAAGAGTTGCATACCCGATCACAACGGTATCCTTGACAACGAGATAGATTTCGGCATTTATCTATTTAAAAGAGTTAAAGGGTGAAAGGGTGATGGGTTAAAGTGTTAAAAGAGTTAAAGGGTGAAAGGGTTAAAGGGTTAAAAGAGTTAAAGGGTGAAAGGGTTTCAGGGTGAAAGGGTTAAAGGGTTAAAGGGTACAGTTTGGAAATGGAAATGCAACTCTATAAAGGGAGGGTTTTTACGTCTATATCTAAATGTGAACAATTTATTTGATTAAAATAAATTAAATTTGACTAAAAACTTCATAAAAGGAAAAATGAGAAAAAACATGAATTTTTTAATTTGTGTACATATATACTTCCTACCTTGTACAGGGGAAGAGAAAGTTTAAGATCACCGGATAGTTTAAAAATTTCAGCATTGGCCTATATTACAAGAATTACTTTAATTCAACTTTAAAACTAAAAGATTCATTGATTTTAGTTTATGGTTGGTTATTTCTCATAACGTTTTCAAGGACCATTCCTTAGGGGTTCTTAGGAGAACACAAACAAAACTGATTTATTATAATTTTAAAGGCTGCTTTTTTCTGTTATGCTTTTAAAGAAAATTACTAGTCTTTATTTTAAATAATTTTTGTGTTATGGATCAACGTTTTATGGTTTGATGCTTTTTTTCATTTTGTGCTGGATTTTTTTGCCTATTTTTCTGTATTTTTTCTCTTTAATTCTATATAACTGACCTCCACCATATCCCTGGCCCATGATTCTCTCTCAGAAGCAGTCGTTAGACAATCCAGCTGACGGTCAAATACTGGAGAAACAAAACTGCCGAATCATGACAAATAAAAATCGTAAATTTCAAATTATAAATTATGCTTAAATATTTCCATATGAAAAACGCAAGTTTTCCTAAGTTTGCAGCATTTTCAATAGACCATTTTCCAATTTCTATTCTTAATTCCTCTATCTCATCATTTGCGTTTTTTCCCTGCAAATATTATCTTAACAAGTATAGCTTTGATAAAGCTTTAACACTCAAAACTACACGCCACTCATTTAGCGTCTTTTTCTGAAAACATAGTTTAGGATCTTAAAATATATAGTTTAATTTGGACAATATTTATACCTGTATTTAATTCAATACCAAGGGGTATATAATGTTTAGTTCCCCCCCTCCTAGTATCGAATGGATGTTTTATTTAGTAACACTCAATAAAGGAAAATTGATGATTTTTAAAAAAGGCGACGCAAATAAAAATGCTGATAAGGGCTTATTTTTTTTTGAAAATCTTTTACACCCCCTGTAGAAAATAAAACATATTTTCATGATATTATTCATGGTTGCGCGGATAGAAAAATTTATGTTAGGGTTTCATTCGCTGAATAAGAGAAAAAACATCTGGTTTTTTGGGGAAACTGAATTCATTTTTGGTTTATAATTATCAAAAAGTATTAAAAATAAGTCTTTAGAGAAAACATTTTTAATCTTTTTTTCCCGAACATCCAAAATCATTTCCCTTCCCTTTCGGTGGGTTTTCTTAAAAAAATATAGAGTAAATATATAGTATTTAACCCTGAATGTATTCTCTTTAAGGTAATTTTCCTGTTGTATTTTGTCAATAAGCATCTTAGCTGTTTTGTCCACAGAAGGTAAATGGAAGGCAACCTCCTTTGGTCTAGAATTTTCAGAAAATAGAATTACAAGTTTGTAAAGCTTGCATTTAATACCACAGGGGTTTATATTTTGATGAGAAATCTTTCTATTTTTTTAAAGGAAAGGTTAAAGGAAAGTTAAGAGTGTAGCTTAAAAAATTCTGAATCTTTTATTACAATCCCTTAACTTACAAGGAAAAATAAATGATTTTTTAAAAGTTAAAAAAGGGAATAGCAACTCCCAACAACCCCTCTTTTAAAAAGTCATTTTTTTAGCTTTAGTTCGTCAAAATATTTACGTAAGAATTACCGTAACATCTTCTGTATACAATTTGATCTGAGTTTATACCATTCTTCTCCATTAGTGTTCCCAAGGCCCAGGGACATCTGCTTCTGGGCTCGGTACATCTGTAATCAGATTTTAAGCATTCTTAAAGAGGCTGTAAGCGTAATTTCAAGCAACCCTCTACATGCAAAGATGGCAATGACCGATTTACAACGGTGCCCTTAAAATTTTGATTGATCAAGTATGAACTAGATATAAATGTTTTTGTTTCTTTAAAATGTTTATTTTTATTTTCAGTTTCTCTGAGGTGGCTTGCGCATTCCTTGCTTTTAAGAAGTAATAGAGAAACTCGCAGAAATAAACACTTTTTGAGTCAGAAAAACGATTGTATCTTCCACATCTTTTATCAGATTAACGCTTCAAGGGTACAGTTCACTTACGCTTACAATCCCTTTAAGGGAATTGTTCCCTTATTTCAAAAAAATTTCTCTGAGAACCAGATTGATCAAAACTTTTTGGTTGTGTATTTAGTGTATTTTCACTTAGGTGAACAACCCCATTAAAGAGACTGTAAGCATAATTTCACGATTCACAACGGTACCCTTGAAACCTAAATCTGATTAAAAATGTGTAAGATACCGATCGTTATCTTTTGCTTCTTAAAAGCAAGAAATGCGCAAATGAAAATGAACAGTTTCAAGAAACAAAAACATTGATATCTAATTCATACTTGATCAGACAAAGCTTTTAAGGATACCATTGTAAGTCGGCAAATTGCCATCTTTGCATGGAGGCTCACAGTCCCTTTAAGTGGAAGAAAAGACTTAAATAAATTTGTAAATAGAAATTAAATTTTTTTTAGGCATTTCGTTTCCATCAAATTTGGAGTAAAATGGGAAAACTTTAAAAAAACAAAATAAAAATACCGTTCCATTCCGAAATTACATATGTTTTACAAGTAATCTATTTCACTATTATTTTTAACCTGCGTAGTTTCTTGTAGAGGTGGAACCACTGGGTACTTTCCTTCATAACTATACACAGTCTTAATATCCTCTGGATCAAACACGTGGACAATTATTTTCCCGCCAATATTTTCCTTCACCAGGGGACCGTACTTACAGTACATATCTGAAAAATTAAGCAGCCATTATTATGCATTCCACGTATAACGAAACAGTGATTTTACAAAAAAATTAGGAGGCTATGTTTATACGAAATAAGGTAGCGATGTAGGAATTCTAAAATTAGAACTTGAGGCGAGTAATTAGTGGTACGTAATATCCCCTTTCAGACTTGCAACAACTGCTTATTTTGTATTATTTGAGGGTTAGGTTAAGTTAAGGCAATTTCTTAGCCGAGCGCTGCGTCCACAAGTCCAACTATCTATACTAACTATAAAACCACGTACTAGTAGTAAAGAGGATTTAGCATAGGTCAAAGTGGAGAATTGCGGATGTTCGTAGGTCGAATGATACACCATCATTATCAGTTTATTTCCGAATTACCTTTAAGTGCCTCGTGGTACTGGGTCTTCTTGAAGTCTCCGAACCTGTACATGAGAGCAGACCCGACCAGTGGCCAGCAGGGGGGACCGGGGATATCCTCAAATTTCTTCAAACCACGAATCACTAGATTAGATAATGCTGGAATAAAATATACAGAAATATTTTATAATTTTTCTTTACCATTTTTCCCGACATCTTTTGCCATCAGTTTTGTTGCCATTTTTTATAAAGTCTAAAGTCTAGGGTTTCCGAAAGAAAATTGAGAGATACAACACAAATATCAACAATTAACATACAAACTTTCTACAAAAGCCACAGATATTTATTTGAATGAAAAAAGGGATTTTAAGAATAATAACAAGTTTCAAACGTTAATATTTCACACAAAAATATCTGTTTTTTTTTTTCTTTCTTTGCAGTTCTTTAAAATACAATGTCCCCCATTCCACTGTAATTTAAAGTTCATTAAAATGTTGACTATTTCTTCACGTTTGTCAATGTGATTTGGAGAATATTGGAGGGGGGGGGGGGGGAGGTTCCATCATGGATTAAGGAGTATGTATGAATTAAAACAATATATTTCCCGACAATATAAAGTTATCATTAATCAATTAAATACTTGGTTCGAATCACATAAATTATTCAGTAAATATAAATTATGCATTTTAGCTTGGTTTCATAATCTAAAGTGATGTTACAATTAATTCATTTGAAATCTAAATTATATCAATTCTTTCCTTTTCTGTGTTCTGCATTAAACTGAATATACTTAAACTTTAAATTGAAATAATTTAGAATCAAAGTATACAACAAACAAGTGAAAAAGTTTACATTTGTTTTACTAATGTGTATACATGTTATCTAGCCTCATTATTTGAAAATAAACACAAATTTGATTTCCTAATCAAAAATTCCATCACAAAACTTTTTTTATAGTTTCACATATGGAATATAATTTTTTAAAAGAAAATATATTTTTTTACTTGAATTAATGTTTAAAATATAACTATTATTAATAAAGATATTACTAAAAACCCCTGTTCCCTTTTATCTAAAGAACAAACCACCAATCGTGCATAACATTTATTTTAAATTCAACTTTGGCTCCCATTTTACTTAAAGCTCTTTACATCATAACAAACTAATCGATTCAAAAGTTAAGTTTGCGCGAAGCAAATAAAACAACAAAATATATATTTCGAACACCTATCAAACTTTGAGAAACTAGTCTACGAGAGATTTACGAGAGAGAGATTTACTCATGAACAAATATCTAAACTAAACTAGACTAGAAGAACATTAAACAGTTTTAAATGCGGATTTCTACAATTTCTTGCCATGTCTCCCTTTAAGACTAGTAAGACTTCACAAAAAGCAGAAAGTCTAAAACCTAGTATTTCTCTCGGGCAAATTTAATTTTTTAGGAGGAAATGTTCAAAAATTTTGTTCTGTGCTCATAAATGACAATATTTTTCGCTCAAGTTCATCAAAGATCACAACTTCTATTTTCATTTTATGTGAAGGGACACAGGAAAATTATCCATGTTAAAAATAAAAATCTACTTCTTGATGTACATTTTTTAACACTGACAGAAATAGCAGAAATCAAGTAAAATACATGCTCCCCTCGGCATTTGTGGAATGATTTATTCTTAAACTTGTTGGTCCAACGAAATGAATATTGGTTCTGTTTTAGTAAGTACAAAACGTCCAGAGGGCGGATCTTTAATGGGAGATAACTCTATTCTACAATGCTTGATATCGATAGCAACACTTTCAACTTAGAAATTTTTAGTGATAATTACTTGATCCCTGAGTTCATAGTTATTATTCCTGCAGGCTTCCGTCCAAAGGGGGGGTTTAAAAAGTGATAATTACTTGATCCCTGAGTTCATAGTTATTATTCCTGCAGGCTTCCGTCCAAAGGGGGGGGGTTTAAAAAGTGATAATTACTTGATCCCTGAGTTCATAGTTATTAATCCTGCAGGCTTCCGTCCAAAGGGGGGTTTAAAAAGAATTAACTTTATTCTTGAGATAACGGCTCAGTGCTTGTTTCCGAGATTCTCAACACAAAAGTTAGGACCTCGGAACACATTTTTAAAAAGTTTAGGATTTTATTTCTGAAGAAATATTTATTAAATCTTTTTGAGTTTGTAAATGAGTGATCATAAAATCATTGCTTTTATTGAGAAAATTAAGAGAGAATATAACTAAGTTTTGGCAATTACAATGCAGTGCTTAGGATCCGAAACCACTGAATTCGTAAGATTTTGGCCATTCCTTTACCCGGATTCGGGACAAAGTAGCAAAATATCAACTGCAATATTTCGATCAATCTCATAGCGTTCTCAAAACACATGTCTCAAATGTTGACAGCAGAGTAAAGAAACGAAACTATTAAAAAGTAAGAAAAACTTGAACATCTATACTCCAGATCCGCATCCAAAAGATCCAACCACTGGTTTTTGGATTAGTCAATTTTAACATATTTTAATACCAGCCACCAGCAGCAGATTTAAAATTCACAGTTTTCTACAAAGTTGCAAGTTTTATTTGTTTGAAAATGATTTCCTTTAGTTTTAAAAAGAATTAATACATCAGCTCACGTGATCAGAAAAAGCTTTGTCTGAAATCACAAGGGTGCATATTTTCGTGAATAAATCCAAATTAACAACCCTAGAATCATTGATTATAAAAAATACAAATAGAACGCTAGCTGTCTTCTTATCAAGATTTAGGAGTTTTTTGTTCACAATAACTCTGAGACAGAATCCCAAAGGAGTTTCGCGTATGCTCTCTCGGTCTGTCTTATAATTCAACGCAACACCCGCGTAACTCCTTTGGGCCTCTGTCTCAGGGTTATTGTGAACGAAAAATCCCTAAATCTTGAAAAGACGACATCTAGTGTTCTATCTGTATTGTTAATTAATTTATGCCTAAAACTTTACGCAACATACATACTATACTAGTTTACCAAATATACAGAGAGACCCATACAAATCTGTAAACAAACCCTTTTCACTCAATAAGCTTATATTCAAGCTGTTGGTTTAACTATTTGCTTCATAACAACATGTCGTTAAATGTCGTCCTATTCCACAGTTGTATGGGCCCCACTGTAGGAAAATATAAACCCCTGTATAACTGTTGAATAGATAATGAAATAAAATTTATAATTAAAAAGCTAGGTTCTATTCGAATGCCAAGGTTATGCTATTAAACGGAAGAATAGGGTCCGTGTCCTAAAATAACAGGTTTCAAATATAATTTCATTAACGTTTCAAAGGAATTGAGTCTTTGCCACAACATCTGAATGTCTAATCCATATATCTTTACCATATCTTTATACTATGAATTCTGTTTGAATTGTAATATCAAAGCTTTACACCATCAGGTCGCAAAGATATAGGGAAGATAAATTTCAGTTTGTGGCAATGACTCAATTCCTTTTCAGGCTTTTATACGTTATAATGCGTTCAAATCAGTTAGGACTGTTGTATTATAACATTTTTTGAGATTTTGTGTTTTCATTTACGCCAAAATTTTTGGAGTAAATATAATAGAACCTCGTGTTTTTGCATGGAAAAGAAAAATATAACTTGTGCAAATTTTGACTAAAAAACGGATATTTTTACAGTTTTTTCCCCAGCCATAATTTGAACTATTTTGGGTAATGTCCCAATTCAAGGCTACTAAAGTACGGATGTTGGATGTGCCGGCTACTCTTTGGAGCATATACACTTTCTCTGATGGAGATAGCACAGCTGATCATACAGTTGGCGGGAAATTAAAGAGGTAAACAGGGATATTTAGAGATATATATAGAAAAATATGGATATATAGAAATATATATAGAAAAATATATAGGGATATTTAGAGATGAAAGGGATGAAAAGATAGATGAACAAAGTACGTCCATGAAACAGGATCATGAGGCTGGAGTCTAATTGCTGCTCGTAGAACCAGCTCAGCTAATCTAAAAACAGAAAGTACCATTAATAATTCAATAAAAATAATAAAAATAATAACAAAGACAAAAATAACAACAAAAACAATAACAAAAATAAAAACAAAACCAAAAACAAAAACAAAAACAATAACAATAACAATAATATTTTGAATATAATTATTCCTCTTTCTAAAAATACTAAAGCCCAACTGTGACGTTCAAGGGAAAAACCACAATTTTTGGGGAGCTTTTTACTCTCATAAGAGTAATATGCGACCCCTCTGTATACGTCCTGTATATTAACATCATTCCACAACTATTTCAGAAATTGGACCCTGATTTTAATGAAACTTATTAATAAATAAATGCCTAACCATTATTTATTCCATATTTATTCCATATAACCTGGGGGATCCTAATTTGAGGTGAGTAAGACCCAAGGATTGAAGGCTGGAGATGTGATGTGGATTTATTGACAAACTGTCTTCAAAACAGGTTTTAGCAGACTCCCATTCGTCACGATACTGATAAATATTAATAATAAAATATTGATAATATATTAATAATAAAATACTGATAATATATTAATAATAAAATACTGATAATATATTAATAATAAAATATTGATAATATATTAATAATAAAATATTGATAATATATTAATAATAAAATACTGATAATATATTAATAATAAAATACTGATAATATATTTATCATACAAACCATAACGACTTAATTTGGTGCTTCTGAGTAAATATTTTAATTTTAGTAATTATCCAATGAAGCCTAGGACCAGAATTATTAAAGAAGTAGTTGAACCTAGTAAACGTTTTTTAAAGTTTCAGATTTGGGATTTGCGAGCATACAAATAACATACAAAAAACCTACTATCACATAGTGAATAGGGGCCGGCACTTCTTCTAGGCGCCAAAACCTATTATCACATTGATTAGACCGATTCATGCATCGACATCAAGAAATAAGTAAAAAATGTGTTTAATGCAATTTTAATCTTTTAAAAATTAATATGGAATTTCTTTAGTGTTTAATATCAATATCTAGAATATTTCAATAAAAATAGGTTAAATGTGTTGTGTGTTTAATTTCATTTTCTATTATCTTTCACACTCCATAAAGCTTTTTTAAACTTTTTTTTTAACATCAAAAACAAATCTATAATATTTATTTCTCAAAGTTGTTAGTTATTCGTCGAAAAATACTAACAATCCACCACCAAATTATATTAAAAATAGTGTAAACAATAAATATGTAACTTTCCGTATCTTTTCCTTTCCTTTTCCTTTTATTTCTATTTTTATATTTTTTTTTAGAATTGGGTGGAAATATTCCCACAACCTCTACTTTTAGAGGTTTTTAAATATTTTCTCCTGAAACACTTTATTTTGTATGTTTTGTTATATTTCATAAATAAATATTTTTTACTTCTTACATTCTTACAGTTTTTGGCTAGTAATTTGGGCCTTGGATCCGCATATTTTTGGGGATCCGGATCCAGGAAGCCAACGGATCCATCGGATCCTAAGCACTGTATTCATATGTCGGATTGCTACCTGATGAATTGCTCCTTTAAGATAAAGAATATGGTAGGAGAGGGGGTACAGCTGACGGGCCTCATTACTAAACAAAATATAAAATAGTTATTTAACCCTTTCCCACCTACAGAGAAAAGTGGTTGTATTACATAAATTCTAGTTTAATGCCTCTTGAGACACAAAATAATAGATTTTTGTTTGATAATGTTATTTTTAAAGAAAGAATCTTCTATCCTATTAAAAGATATTTTCGAATATTGGCCTTAAGGGCCAAATTGATTTCTCAACTTTAAAAAAAACAATAAGCGTTATTTCCAAAAACCCACCATGCAAAGGGGGCAATTCCCTATTTAAAACGGCAACCTTGAAACCTTTGACCAATCATCGAGTAAAGAGAGCGCTGTGTTTAAATGTAAAACGCGGTGTACGCTGCGTACAGTGTGAACTTAACACAGCAGGGGCGTTACTTGTTTCCCTTTACATTACCCGAATATTTTACATTAAAAGCCGTTTCAAAATATTCTATGAAGTGAATATTATTGTATTTAAACTTGCTAACAGCTTGCAAATACCAACAAAGTGTTCTACAAATAAAAACGTGTTTGTATGATACTGAGAATATGTCCGGTTTTAAAGGTACCGTTGTGAATCGGGCTTTGCCATCTTGCATGGAAAGTCACTTGAAAGTACGCTTACAACCCTTTAAGTTTCTTAAATGTATTTTTACCAGCATTGCTGAGCTGCCTCGACTTGATCTTGGCGTAAATAGAGTTCAGCGGTCAGCAGCCAGGTTCTAATCAAATATTTAATAAAAATACAGATATTTGATTTATTATCTTTAATTAGAGACTAATTCAATTCAATCCAATTCAATCCAATTCAATTCAATTCAATTCAATTCATGAGGCTTCGACTAGGGAGGTGTCCAAAAGCTCCTCGGCCTATGCCATCACAATCCCTACTAGGTCAAGGCTTTTCAGTCTGACATAGTTTAAGCCTAACGTCGGACACACGACCAAATTTGAGCCATGTCACCGGTCCGAATCCTTTTGTCAGCTAGTTGCCAAACAAATGTATTACACATGTAGTAAACTACTAACAAAGAGAATCTCACTCCCGGTTAAATTGTTATTTTTGAATTTATGACTATGTAGAGGGTGACCCAAAAAAACAGGGATTAGCGTTTTAAAGCCCCAATAATCATCTGAAATTACGCAAAATGAGATTCTTGACTAACAGGTAGGTGTTTAAAACTCCTAACTAGTATTTGAATCAGACTTTTTAGTGAAAAAGCTTTAAAAGGCATGGATAAATGGGGAAAAGGGGAAATATTTTTTCAAATTTTTTATTTTTCACAAATGATGCCCGTATGCAAAATTTCTTTCAGATTTCTCAAAAAATGAAGACAGGATTCCCAAATGTATTCAAATTGGTCAAAATCACCCTCCTCTTTACTTGACTATTTGACTTATGAATTTATTACCTTGTAAATAAATATTTGGGTGTATTTAAAAGCTAATTATGTTTAAATTTAGTAAAGAAATATGAAGTTTATTAAACTTTGACTTGGCATTTGTTCGTTACATTAAACCTAAAGCATTATATCAAAACAAGGGTTTTATAATATTGATATCGTGAAAAAAAAAAATTTTAATATTGAAAGGAAATCCTTATCATATTGGTTGTTTAAGTGAAAGATTGTTGATTATGAAAAATTAACATAATGAAGGGACAAAACTTTTCTCATAATTTAGCTTTATATTTGACCTAATTTAATCTACATTAGAGATATTTTTTCGGGTCTGGTAATCAAGAAAACAAAGTTTTTTGTTGTTGTTAAGAGTATAAAATAATTTTACCTTATTTGATTGTAAGCAGTCTCATGTGTACTATTTTTTGTAACCCCAGCACTGAACGAAAAAAAACATTATTAATGAATTTTTTATTAAAACATGCTGACATTGGTCTTAAACGGATCTTTAATGTAATTTTAAGTGACCATTTATGGAAAGATCGCAATGTCCGATTTACAAAGGTACCCTTAATTGGGGTTTCTCTACAAAGGTGACTTGCGTATTTCTACTACTTTCAAAGCTAGAAAAAAGACAATTTCTTCCACATAATTGATCAAGGGTACCGTTGTGAATCGGGCATTGCCGTCCTTGCATTATGAATCACTCAAAATTAAACTTACAATCCCTTCAAAAGTCAACATTCTTGACATTAAGAGTTAAGTTTTTTTTGTATTATTAAGTGTGACCTGAGACTAGGGTTGTTAATCGTTTTCAAAAACGATCGTTTCGTTTTCGGAAAAAAGCGATCGTTTTTAAAAACGACTCACTCGTTTTGAATTTTTAGAAAACGAATAGCGATCGTTTTTGAAAACGATCGTTTTTAATAAAACGATTTGCGACCGTTTTTATACGATTGTTTTTAAAAAAACGATCGTTTTTGAATTTTTTTATTGACAATTATGTTAACGATCGTTAACGAAGGAATGTTGTTAACGACCGTTAACGAAACAACGAACTTTTTCAAAACGGCCGTTTTTGAAAAAAAAATTACATGCAACTTTATTGAATGTCGTCTTACATGAAGTTTAACAGTTGCTGAGGAGTTAAAACTCCTTGATACTTTCTTAAAAACTACTCAATGATAAGTACAGATGCCCTTCAGGTCGGTTTCCTCTCTTCGTTAACGATCGTTAAGGAAGGGGTCGTCGTTAACGATATCGTTAACGAAGGGTCGTCGTTAACGATCGTAAACGAAACGACGAATTTTATAAAAACGATCGTTTTTAAAAACGATCGTTTTAAAAACGACCATTTTTAAAAAACGAACTTTTTAAAAAACGATCGTTTTTCTGACAAATGAAAACGTAAACATCCCTACCTGAGACTGCTTGCTACTTCACTAAGTGTTTTCTCCACCTGACTGGCTGCTACAGACTGGGCCTGCACAATTATGATAATAAAAGTAAACCGTGTATTGGCGGAAACTGATAAAAATCATATTAAATATACGGATACGGATCTGCACTTGCAAAAATATGTGGATCCACGGCTCCGGATCCACGGTGCAAAAAATCAACCAAAAACTGTAAATTTTTTTGCTCTTAAACTTCAAATATAAACTGTTAATGTAATGTATCCTAAGCACTGCTGATCAAAACTTTATTTTTATTTTCCCCTAAATATTTTGGACCATTGTTTACCTGGAGAGAAACACTATCTTTATCTGACAGTGTGTCCCAATGAGAATAATTGGCGGCCACCATACTCCGGGTTTCTCCTTCAATCCCTGAACAGATCATTTTAACTTTAGTTCTTTTTAAATTATGGATAAAAACTAGACATAACTAAAATCAAATTTATAAAAACCTAAAATGGAAAAAATGGAAAAAATTCGAAAGAGTGGGAGTGTACATCTAAACATTTAAAGTGTGTGGGTTTATATTATCTTAACTTAACTTATTTCTTGATTTGAAAAATTAAAGGTTATGGAATTTTTTCCAGTGAAAAATATTTTTCAAAGAGGTTTTATTCGCTAAATTGGGGAAAGTATATGATTTTAAGAGTAAAAAAAAATTAAAAAAGGATGAAAAAACTTGTTTTTTTTTTTCAAGGTCAAATTTTAATTCCCCCAGACCTCTCCCCTTTACCCCTGGAAACTTCCTTAATCGTACTACTCTCATTTGTAAGATCTCCACGGATCTGAATGTCGTCTTTGTTCAGGGTATCTCCAAACCAAACGCGGAATGACGAGGTGGCAGAAGTATGACTATTCTCCAGATTTATACTCTCATATTTAGATATTTATCCTTTTATAACTGCATTTAATCATATTCAACCAAAGATTATAAAAGCTTTATGTCTTTAAGTTTTATCCGAGACTACAGCAGGTAAAACCTAGCCAGCTTTTACTTATAACTTGATATTTTACTTTTAGAATGGGTTGATTATCCCATTCCGTTCTATCGAAGTGTTGAACAGGTTGCATTTAATCAAGGTTCATAATCCATCTGTATACTAAAATATATTTTTCTTCTCTTTGTCTTTCTTCCAATCTAACCCTTTGTTGATGATTTATATATAAGATTCCAGATTTTTTAATTATTCTTTTTTAAATATTATACATATAGATTATTATACTAGTCGGAACTGATTTATTTTGTTTTCTTCCGTTCACGACTAGAGCTGTATGAATAAACCTCCTGAAATACATGCTTGAAAAGACTGTCAGAGCATTAAAAAGGTGCTCTGGGGTATTTTGGATGCTCGACCATCATGTTTTTATGCTTCCTACCAGCTTCACCTGGGTACGTAACCTACCCCTAATGGGGCCTTGAGCATATCATTCCTGTTCTAAGAAAATTGGAATAAATAAACAATTAAAAAAAAAAATTTAGAATCACCTATTCCTGAGTCTGTTGATGAAGCACTGATTTCTCCCAGGTCTCGGAGTAGGTTGAACATATATCTAGCAGTTCTCAGAGCAACATCTCCCCCGTACACTTGCTCCTCTAACCTTGCTCTTAGAGCAAGTAAGGGAAGGTTTTCAGGATATTCGAGGAGCGTCTGTTCACAAAGTTTCAAGGCTTCATCAAAATCTCCCTTCGCGGAAATGACTGAAAATGATTAAAATATTGCAATGGAAAAAGAGGATGGTTTAGAAAAAGTTATAGTAATGGCTTTATGAATACCAAAAGGAACCCATATAATACATTAACAGCAACAAATTCAGTGTTTGACCTTCTAAAGACCTCTAACGACCTATAACTACCTTTAATGACCTTCAAATTGAAAATTTTATATCTATGGCTTTGAGTAAATCAAAGGAAAGCTAGGAACCCAAATAATACAGTAACAACAATCAATTCAGTGTTTGATCTTCTAATGACCTTTGCCGACCTCTAATGACCTTCAAATTGAAAATTTTATAAATACAACTTCATGCATATCAAACGAAACCCAGGCAATACAGTTGCTGACATCTCCACCATCCCCTTTGGAATATATATTATGCATTTTGAAGAATTACCCCAGAGAGAAAATATTTTTAAGGTTTGGAGAAAAAAATGAAAAATGGGAAGACAGCAAACAATCCTTACATATTGAGAAAAAAAAATCTTTAAAAAGGGAGTAATAACTTTACAATAACATACCCCTGAATTTGAAAAAAAAGGGTGATCCCGGTTTACCTAGTGTTGCAAGATGTAGGCTCTGTAAATGAACTGGATTAAGCTGAATAGCCTTGTTTACATGAATAAATGCTTCCGGAATCCGTCTAAACATTAATATTGTGAAATTGGAGAAAAAACACCATGCTCGCCTCAAACTTTAATTTTCTCATCCTTATCTTTGCAAATTGTTGTCGTGGACCTTGGATATTTCTAATCATAAATTAAATAGATGGAGATGCCTCAACAAGTAGAAAATGAATAAAGCAAGAAGAAAAGATTAGAGGAGAAACTAAATTGGAGCAAATGCTTGAAACATGCACTACCACCATACACGAGTTTTGCAAACCCTGATCGGCACGACATTTAATCTATGCTGCAAGAATGTACTTAATAAATTGCCACACTGTTCGACCTACTGTCGTTTAAGCTATTGCATATTTCGACAATTTTTATGTTTCCAACATAATTGCTTCTAAATGTAGGGATTTCAATAATTATTACATTGCAAGGGCCACTGAAAGTAGGGAGAATTTCAATTGAATCACTTTTTATGCATAAAATTATTACATAAAAACTCTAATGCAAATAGTAAACAAACTATGTTGAAATTTAACAAAAGCAAAACTACCAAAAAATGCCAATATAAACAAAAGTGAAAATATCAAGAGTTCACATGACTTTAGTTCCAAGTACCTAACCACCATATCAAACAACTTGATTTGTCTAAATTGCAGATTAACAACAAAGAAAGATGATGAATTATAAACAATATAAAGTTAAACTTCATCTGTTGTCTTCCTTAAAGGGAGTGACTGGCACTGTATGGCGGTTGAACTGAATGTGTAGTATTGTGGACAAATTTTTTAAGATTCATTTGAGACATATAAAATGTTTCACATGACGTATATTTACTGAGTTTAAGTGCAAAGTCGACGTACAAAATCATGAATTTGGGTGGGTACGTTTTCAGAATCGTTTTTTTTAAATAAAAAAATAACAAGGTAAAAAAATGTAAACAAAATTCTACAGTAAACTAGTTAGTTGCTTAGAAACAGGTTGAGAAAATGAAAATTGACTCTCATCATCGAAAATAAGTAATCTTATTCAATTATTGGTTTCTCTAATCTCTTATAATTCCCCAAAATTTCTGCAGATTTTCTGGAATTTTTTTTGAAAAGACGACAATGGAAGAATTTGTAGAAATCTGCGAACAAATTCATAGAAAATAAGAAATGCAATATATTGATGAAAACGAAATAATTGATTCTAACATGGATTTGTTGACAAATTTCTTTTGAGAAATATTTAGTTTGCTATAGAATTTTTTATTTAACAATAAAAAAAACGATTCTGAAAACGTACCCACCTAAATTCATGATTTTGAACGTCAACTTTGCACTCAAACTCATTAATCCTAGACAGTGTAAACGTTTCATATGTCTAAAATGAGTCCTAAATAAAATGTCTACAATACTGCATACTCAGTTCAACCACCATACATTGCCGGTCACTCCCTTTAAACCAGTGCCGATTTTTAGGCTACTCTTGCAGGAACCTAATGATTAAACAATGAATGCAAGGCGAGCAGGGTTCTCAATCCAGCAGCAAGAGCAGATTCTGCTGGCAACATTTATTTTTTTCTTCAAAATTGAGCCAAACATGATGGAAGATGCATGTCCATGACCAAGAAGAAAACTTGAGAACAAGAAATGTCCATGATGGAAGATGCATGACCAAGAAGAAAACTGGAGAACAAGAAATGTCTATGATGGAAGATGCATGACCATGACCAAGAAGAAAACTTGAGAACAAGAAATGTCAATGATGGAAGATGCATGACCAAGAAGAAAAGTGGAGAGCAAGAAATGTCAATGATGGAAGATGCATGACCAAGAAGAAAACTGGAGAACAAGAAATGTCAATGATGGAAGATGCATGACCAAGAAGAAAAGTGGAGAGCAAAAAATGTCAATGATGGAAGATGCATAACCAAGAAGAAAACTGGAGAACAAGAAATTTCAATGATGGAAGATGCATTACCAAGAAGAAAAGTGGAGTGCAAGAAATGTCAATGATGGAAGATGCATGACCAAGAAGAAAACTGGAGAACAAGAAATGTCTAATATCATCTAATTGTTTGTAATAACATTGTTAAAATTAAAATTAAAAAGTGAAAAAGTAAAAAAAATAATTAAAGATGTCAGTATCAAAGATTTACAGGATCAGATGGTTTGGTAAATACTAGGTTGAGGCGAGAGATAAGTCCTTTTGCACTTTGTTGCTTCTAATCATCTTCTTACCTAAGAGATGCGAGGTGAAGAGCCAAATAAAAATGCGCTAAATGATCTCCAGGATCAAGATCAATACTAGAAAATAAAACATTAATTAACAGAGGCTGTGATATCTCAAAACATAAAAGAACAAATCTCAGTTAAAAGTTTGTTTAAAAGATCGTCCAGTGTTAAGTTGTTCCTTATGTAAACAAATGTCTTTTGTCTTTTGTCTTTTGTCTTTTGTCTTTTGTCTTTTGTCTTTTGTCTTTTGTCTTTTGTCTTTTGTCTTTTGTCTTTTGTCTTCTTCTGTCTTCTGTCTTCTGTCTTCTGTCTTCTGTCTTCTGTCTTCTTCTGTCTTCTGTCTTCTGTCTTCTGTCTTCTGTCTTCTGTCTTCTGTCTTCTGTCTTCTGTCTTCTGTCTTCTGTCTTTTGTCTTCACTGTATTTTATGCTATACCTGATTTGCAGATGATGAAGAGCAGACTGTGCAAAGTTCTGTCTGGCCTCCCTAGTCTCGACATCAGTAGATTTAAGATAGTGTCCGATACCGATATACAGATGACATCGTGATCGTAGATCTTGTGGATATTCCTCCTCTCTGAACAGAATCGGCACTTTCATCTCAGAAATTAATTTTAAAGATTTTCCGAGATTTGAAGGAAAAAAGACATTGGCTAAGAAGTAATACCGACAATGTTCGTCATGCACGGTTTTGTGGACAAAGTTAGATGATTTACACACAAGGCCGCCATGTAAAAGCTTAGTCTCGAGTCTAAATCTCTTAGTCTCAACTTGAAAGTTCAAAGTTAGACTTGAGTTTTGTCAAAATTAATTTCTGACTTAAAAATGAAAATATTTCTAAGGAAAAAGCACCCAATATACATCTAAAGGTTGGAATCTTATGTTAGTCCCAATGACAGTTTAATCTTAAAACATAAAAAATAAAATTTCATATTATACTTTTTACTACCTGATTAATGCCCTCTCCGCCCACTCAATACCCTCTGCCAGTAGGTTCAATCTCTCAAAGCAAATCCTTGAAAGTATTCAGATTTTAAAGGTTTATGAAATTATATAATTCTGGACAATCACGGACCGAAAAATAGATTTGAATAGGGGGGACACTGTTAAGCTAAAAGTTTGCGGCTGAACTTCTCTTTAGTTAAAAAGGTAGACTTCTATGAGGAAAACTTATTTTCCAGGCACAGCTGGGTTTCCAAATTAGTAGAAAACCATAATTTTCGTTCATCCANCAACAAGACCCCTGATCAATAGAACTATATACCTGGCTGCAACAAGACCCCTGATCAATAGAACTATATACCTGGCTGCAACAAGACCCCTGATCAATAGAACTATATACCTGGCTGCAACAAGACCCCTGCTCAATAGAACTATATACCTGGCTGCAACAAGACAGGGAGAAGCATCCTCTGGATCCATTTCAGCAACCTCCTGAGCTCATGACAATTACATTTTTATAAAACGTTCTGTTCAATTTAAGATAAAAATGTTTTAATCAAAAAATGCCAACCCATTGCTCCTTAAAAAGCTAATAAAATTTAAAAAGTTTACTGATAGTGAAGACTTTATATTTAAAATTTTATTTCTAGCAAGACAAATATTCTTCTATATCAAAGAAAAGTTATTTTAAAAGTGGAAAATATTATTATTGTTTTATGACTATATAATCAAGATGTGTACTTCATTTCTCATGCAGTTTTCAATACCTAACAAACAAATCTAATATTTCAGTACAATTACATTTTTTGATTTATAGAACAGGATATTTGAATAACAAAGAAATTATCCCCTTTCATAAATGGCTTCTCTTTGTTTATATTATTTCTGGGTACGATATGAAATAAATAAAAACTAAAATAGAAAGTCGTCTTTATTGTATCGATATATATATATATATATACGACGACCACTATATTTCAAGTTATCTTAATAGAATATTGTAAATGGCTCCCTTTAAAACTACAACACATCGTAGAGATCTCCCATCGCAAGCTGAAAAAATTATCATAATTAGAATACTTGACATTGAGCAACAAAAAAACTTTATAAGAAAAGTTTTCCCCCCGGAAATTGGATACTTAACATTGCTTTCTTTTTCTATCGAAGAAACTCATCATTATTTATTTAATCACTTTCAAAAAGAAACCCCAATTGAAAATAATCAATCATCAGCAAAACAAAAAACGATATCTCATTCATCCATATCAAAGTTGTCTTAGTCCCGTTGTAAATCGAACATATCCCTTTGATGAAAGCATTAAAGTTAAATCAGACTTACACACACTGTTCATACGCTCTCATGGGAAAGCCTTACAGGCCTATTGTTTTCAAGGCACGCCATGCTACTTTTCCACAAGGGGTTTTTGACTGGCATTTTACTGCGACTTGTTGCATATAATATCCATTCAGGGGTTAGTTTTACAATTAAATACCGATTTTTAACATAAAACATAAAATTAATGAATTTAGTCTTTTCGGAAGATTTTGAATTTCGTATCCAAAGGATCCTTAAACATCCCTGAATACAGATGTCTGTTGATTGACCGTGTATTACATTTATGTACACAATGGAACCTGTTGTGGAAAATGTCGCATTTACTAGCGTACGAGCAGTCAGTTAAATGTACCTACTAACCTAGTGAGAGAGCAAACTGCGCCCATATATGTTCTTCTTTAGGAGCAAACCGTAGAGATCGTTCAAACATCTCACACAGTGTGCGGAAATGTCCAAACCGTGCCATAGCTGTCAACATAAATGACGATTAACTGATAGAAAATTTTTTAAAAATAAAAAAATTATATTTAAAAAATTTAGCCGAACATAATGGAAGATGTACGAACTAGAAGGTTATGAAGATCAAGAAAAACAGAAATGTCAAAATATTTTCAGCTGCTGTTATCTGACAAGTTTTAGAATTTTGTTGAAATAAAAAAATAATACAAAATGTTAAAAAGATGATGGCAAAGTTACTGTATGTTAATGTCAAAAGATCGACGATTTTTTTTTTGCGTGATAAAGTCAAACATCATTTATTTCCTAAATTCATGAGATTGAAAACTGAAGTGGCTCCGTGCATCGTGTTGGTTCTGTTGTAGTACATCGTTTATTATTTACCAGTTTAATAAAAACTAATTCGATAGATTTACATACAAAGGATGAGACTTGTGACACGACAATACGGAATATTAACTGGTTTTTCCTTCTATGTACCATGTACCATGTACCATGTACCATGTACCATGTACCATGTACCATGTACCATGTACCATGTACCATGTACCATGTACCATGTACCATGTACCGTGTATCATGTACCATGTACCATGTACCATGTACCATGTACCATGTACCATGTCCATATACCACGTACCATGTACAATGCAACATGCAAACTGTACACTGTACACTGTATATTGCATCTTTGTACATAAAAAGTTGTGTAAGTTTTATAAAAGATGCTTTCCTATGCGCATCATATTCTGGATTCTGATTTAAAGGAACATGCTTGCTCACCATCGCTTCACACAGCAGCAGCAGAAGCACAATCTACGAATATAAAACATACAAACGGGGCTTCAGAGATCAATTTGAGATACCCTCTTATCATAGAGTGGCATGTCTGATTCACAACGGTACCTGTTAAAAAGAAAGATTTTCATTTAGACGTGGGTCTCTACAACATTAAAGGGACTGTTAGTGTAACTTCAAGTGACCCTCCAATCCAAATAGGGAAAGTTACCTTAACGCTTGCAGTAAGCTGAAATGCCCGTGAGAACAGTACAGATTTAACTCGATACAGCGCAGCACTCACCGGTATTTTCAGCTGACTACAAGAGTTCAGGACGTAAGTAACTTTACACACAGATATCTCTGTACTAGACGAACACACAGAGTGCTTAAGGGTACCGTTTCTAAATCGGGCCTTTCCCTCTTTGCATGGAGGGTCACTTGAAATTACGCTTACAGTCTCTTTAATTCACAAAATATGTTTGAAAAGACGTAATAATTGAATAGCCCTACTAACCGGAAAACCTATAAATGCGTATGACATTCGTATATACGTATTTTTAGGTTTGGAATACGTAAAAATGCGTATTTTCCATACGTATTTTCCTAACCATTTTCTTGGTAAAAATACGTATTTTCGAGTGTAAAAAACCTTCAAAATTCAATGAATCAGGAATGTTTAGGTTTTTCCTATACGTAGATTTAGGGTGGAAAAAATTCTAATATTTCTTATTTTTTGGAATTTATATGTTTTACCTATATGTAAAAAAACGCATTTTTTAATTATTTTCAAGGTCTAAAACCAAATGTTATGAAGATGTCTATAATTTTGCATGCACATTGTTCCTTCATATCTATACATTATACAACTAATTCCACAAATTTCTTATATCCATTCATAGATATAAATTATTTTCAATCCAATCCAATATTCTTCTACACAAATTTACACCATCATCATTTCTTTATCTGTATCCATCTAAATCAACATTAACATATGCATTTTGTTTGTATCTTCAACAATTACGTATTCAATGTCTGTTATACTTCATACACATCTGTTCTGTTGCATTAAATTTCTTACATAACAATTTTCTTGAAAAATCATAAAATATTTTTGCAGTTTAGGTTTCCTGCATATATTCAAACTAAGAAAAATTAGTTGGCATCAAACTTTTTAACTCTAAAAAATACAATTTTTTTAGTGAAGAAAAATCTAAAAAATAAGTAAAGATTTGTAAAATAAAAACCTAAAAACGTAGAAAAATTATTTGGTATGAAATTTACGAAAATAGGCGTAATTTTAGGTTCACCTTAAACTTTTATTCTTAAAAAACACAATTGTTTAAGTAAAGAAAAAATAAAAAACGTAAAAATACGTAAAATAAAAACCTAAAAACATTGAAAAAAAACTTGTTAGAAGTATACGCAATTATTAGTAGAAATATGTTTCTAGAAACCTAAGGAATTAAAAAAAACTGTTGGAATGATAAATACATAAAAATACGTAAATTCACGCAAGTTCTTTAATAAAAAGTTGAGCATACGAATTTTTACGTAAACATACCTAAAAATAAGTATACCTATATAGAGGTTTAGTACTTTTAGGTTTTCTGGTGAGTAGGGAGGTCAATTTTAATTCATCTTTGATCAGAAAAAAAGGTTTAAGGGTACAAACAATGTTAGGCTATTATGTAGAGTATAAATATTAAATAAATATTAAATAGAAATATCTATTTTACTCTTAATTTCCATGTTTACCTCTTCTTGTTTGTTTACAGGTAGGAACTGGTTTGAGTTTGAGAATCGTTTAGGTTTCCAAGGTGACTCCCCCATACCGGCACTTTGCCGTGAGTTCACCCGTTTAGGAGACTCAGTGTCCGGGACCGAGTACTTTTTATCACTATAAAAAAATGTTTATGAATATTATGTTTAGATTTAAAATTATATTAGAAGATCGTTTAACAATTTGTATTTGTTCTTAGGCATCAAATCAAATCAAATCAAATCAAATCAAATCAAATCAAATCAAATCAAATCAAATCAAATCAAATCAAATCAAATCAAATCAAATCAAATCAAATCAAATCAAATCAAATCAAATTAATTCAACTCAAAATCAAATCAAATCATGAAATGCAGGGATTTTTAAGAATTAATTTCGAGTGTAGGTTCAATTCCCTTCTTTACCCTTGCTTTAATGCCGCATTTTCTTTAAAGTTTAAATTTGTTGTAAAAACAGAGACAATTAATATTAACTCCAAGGTTCTCTAATTTTTTAATAACGCGCAATCAAAGTAAGATCTTTAGAACTGTTAAAATAGAAAGACGACTGTTAAACTAAAATTAAGACTTTAAATAGTCCTTTAAACAGACCAACAAATATGAAACACAGGAATTGTGCTCTGTGCAGTGTACACAGACCATTCTCACGTAATTAGTAAAATTGTAAAACTTTTTGCTATATAACAACATCAAATGCACATGATATTGCTAACATATCGTCTTCCTTTTTTGCAATTTTGTGGAATCCACTGTCCAAAAGATAATTTTTTAAATTAAACCTGATGCTATGAATGAGAGTTTCAGCCAGCTGTTTAGCCAGACCCAATCTTACACTAGTCGTACTCCTCGTCTCCTCAGCACTCAACATTGCTCGGAACCTAAATATTTAAATCAGTGCTTAGGATCCATTTAATTTTGATCCGGATCTGCACCGGATTTTTTTGCGCATCCGGATCCAGGAAGCCAAAATGTTGCGGTGGTTCCTAAGCACTTGTCAGAAAATCAGACAGTTTCCTCTAGGCCAGATGAGCGTTTACCAAGTTAAGAATTAAAATCTGTACAACAAGCGACTTGGTTTTAAAACGTATCTTATCTTAAGAAAAGTTGAGTATACTCTGTGTACATATTGAACCTAGTTCTCTCTGGGCGGAACATGGTAAACAAGAATAGACGCATCAGTGTTTGTTTAGTATCCGAGGAGGATAAAAGCATTGAATTTTGAAAATTTTGAATGTTCACTTAATAGTTTCCTATGACGAGAATATTTTATTGATTTTTTATGTGAAAGATGGATCCCATGTCAGGCTGTGACATCCGCCTTGTGTTTACATTACCGCCCAGAGACAGTACACTGCAGTACAAAAGATGCGTACACCTCTGAAATAACTTTCCTTGCATTATAACCTTGTCTTTTCTTATCTAAAAGTGCGACCCAAATTTCCAGCGTTAGTTTAGCGACGTAGAAACCATGGAAAACACATTCGGGAAATAACAAGAGTTCTATTTCAAGTAGTTTTCATCAGTAATCGAGCTTAATCACACATAGAACACATTTGACTTATTCTTTTTTTTAAATCACATAAGATTGTTATTTATGGGAGGAAATTGAGAGCTTACCTGGCAATTGCCTTCTCTATTTTGGGAGTAAATTGAGAGCTTACCAGGCAATTGCCTTCTCTATTTTGGGAGGAAATTGAGAGCTTGCCTGGCAATTGCCTTCTCTATTTTGGGAGGAAATTGAGAGCTTACCTGGCAATTGCCTTCTCTATTTTGGGAGGAAATTGAGAGCTTACCTGGCAATTGCCTTCTCTATTTAGGGAGGAAATTGAGAGCTTACCTGGCAATTGCCTTCTCTACTTTGGGAGTAAATTGAGAGCTTACCTGGCAACTGCCTACTCTACTTTGGGAGTAAATTGAGAGCTTACCTGGCAACTGCCTTCTCTATTTTGGGAGGAAATTGAGAGCTTACCTGGCAATTGCCTTCTCTACTTTGGGAATAAATTGAGAGCTTACCTGGCAACTGCCTTCTCTATTTTGGAAGCAAATTGAGAGCTTACCTGGCAATTGCCTTCTCAACTTTAGGCGTAAATTGAGAGCTTAACTGGCAACTGCCTTCTCTATTTTGGGAGTAAATTGAGAGCTTACCTGGCGATTGCCTTCTCTATTTTGGGAGTAAATTGAGAGCTTACCTGGCGATTGCCTTCTCTATTTTGGGAGTAAATTGAGAGCTTACCTGGCAATTGCCTTCTCTATTTTGGGAGTAAATTGAGAGCTTACCTGGCAATTGCCTTCTCTATTTTGCCGGTTTTGAGGTAGATTTGTGGAGCCTTTAACATTGCATTCTCCAGGATAGGGCCAAGTTTATGCTCAACATAGGGTGGAACTAATTTCATGTACATTCAATTTAGGAAATTTAAAATCACAAATTCTTTGAATTTTATAAAAACTGAATATCTTTAATCTCTATAGTGTCTACTGTCTATACACTAAAATTTGTGAAAATTATTTGGCGTGAGATTTGACAACGTTTGTTTCGTCCTGTGTTTAGTAGTATTTACTTCAACTTTTAAACACTAAAGTTTAGACAAGGAAAAATGAGACTCGGAATCAAGACAATCGGAAGTATCTGTCCTAAATTTTTGGTAGTAGGCCAGAAATGGATTTCTCCTTAAAAGTTTAATTTGTTTGTGAATAAATCTTTATAAAAAAACTATCTTGGGAACCCAGCGCTGTTGTTTACCCGCACTTGGACGATTTTACCGGGAAACTAAATTTTCGCCACTAAAGTCGACCCACTCCACTTAGAATCTTAAAAAGCTAAGAACATTCCCGTGGGTCTCCCGAGTTCCCCAATCAAAATTTGAGGGGTTCCTGATCTATAATCGGAAAAACAAATAAGCAGACAGACAGATATTACAAATTTATATATATAGATAGTATATTAAGGGCGTTTTTATGACGTGATAGATTTTTTCCGGAGAAAAAGAGTTCGGCTGCTAGACGTTTTTCGCCAAAAGCACGCTTACACTTTCAACATGGGCGGGTATGTAGGTCATTAAAATGTCTAAATGTTTGAGACGTCCTGTGATCTGAACGTCTGAGCAGAATTCCAGCTCAGGGAGTCCAAAATTACAGGGGGTGATTTTTAAAATATAAATATTTGATTTAAAAATTTAAAATGTATTTCCTGGTGAACTACTATTTCCCACAACCCCTACACTCTGCATAGAGAGCGTACTCTGGGCATACCCTCGTCGTGATACACTGTCTATCTCCTAAACACATAAAAAACTTCTTAAGGCTGAATAGATTGTTATTGTTATTAAAATCGGTCTGATATCAAAATAAATGAAAAATGTCTAGCTGATACAAAATATTAACGTTTACACATATCAGCAGATTTTTTTAGACATTGAATTTATATAAAAGAAAGCAAAGTTTGTAGTTTTATTTGGTTTCTGAAATTTATTTTTTCTTCATAGAACAATAGGATCTCTTTATTGTTTGGCCGGCTGGTTTATAACATTTTTTTTTAACAAAATGGGATTTAAAGATACAAATATTTTTATCCAATATTGACTTTTTTGGAAACTCGGTATTTTTGGTTTAACAAGTACATATCCCGTGTTTACCTGTAGATATAAGAGTGCAAGGTCCCCTGAAAGTATATATCCCGTGTTTACCTGTAGATATAAGAGTGCAAGGTCCCCTGAAAGTATATATCCCGTGTTTACCTGTAGATATAAGAGTGCAAGGTCCCCTGAAAGCTCATAACACCTAAAATTTAAAGACAATCCTAAATAAAACTAAATTGCCAGATTTTGAAAATCTTTTAAATAGAATTTTCTTAATTCACAAATATACGAAGTTGAAGTCGAATTCTCATCGTCTTCTTTTTCAATGAATTATTAAATATTTTTAAGGATTTTGTAATCTGCAAATAAAAAATATCTAGAACTTTCTTGAACATATTTAGAAGTATGGCATTTTTAACAATTACAAATAAAAAAATTCTTGAGAAAATGAAAGCACATGTATCTCACTATTTTGTAGTTCTTACTGTCGCACCTGTAGAAATTTCCATCTATATTATTATGTACATAAAATCTGTATTGTTTGTCAGGAGTGTATAGTTTTTATAAATTCTTGATAATCTGGAGAAAAAAAAAGAAAATTTGGACGTCAAAAACAAGTTTTGACATTTTTTTGATTCTTTTTACCAAAAAAACTTATCATTTATTTTCCAAAAGGGGGGAGGGCAGAAGAGTTGGGGTGTGTGAAAAATGATTTTTCTAAAAAACATACACCCCTACTGTTTGTCTTACTTTGTAATTTTGTTTTCTCGATCCAAAAGTTTACTCTTGCTGGTAGTTTGGATTGGAATCTTCTCAAAACACATTCCTTTGATGGCAAATGCTTCAGCAATGATCTTCAGGCTCCGCGGAGGCAGTTTCTTCTCTTCAAGCGTTTCCAGCTTAGACTTCTCATAAAATCTTAATAAATCATATACAGGTTTAAAGGGAGCTACAGAGTGTCCCAGGAAACATGACAGTAGCAAGACGACTTTGATTTTTGATATAATTTACTGCATTAAAATTTGTCAACCTAGATTTAGAAGCAAAATCCTAGAGTTAGTAATCACAAAATAACCCTTAGTCATGACATTTCCAAAATGTGGTCTGCCCTTTTTGTGCTTTCAATATTACCCGAGATATTAATATTTCGTTTAGATTTCGACAATTAAGTTTCATCTAATAAAAGTGAAATCTGAACGAAATTCTTAATACGTCCGGTAATATGGGTAGCACAAAAAAAGGCAAACCACATATTGGAAAATCCAAGATTAGGAGAATATTGTGTTTATAGTTTCAAGACTCATATATGTTTAAATAGGTTGACGACTAAATGTCACAAATAAATTCCAAGATAAAGACGAGTCGTCTTTCTACTGCCATGTTACACCCTGTAGGTCCCAAAAAGTAGGGTAAAATTGGCGGTTTTTAGTTCTCAGCGTGTGCCATCAAATCTTTACAGCTATAAATCTTGCGATATGACATTTCTCCGTGTTAAATAAATAAAATAAAAGATCGATCATTCCGTGGAATTATTATTGTTTGAGTCTTTTTTTCAAATTTTATTTGTGCTTGATATCATTATGGTTTATTTCAGTTTTGGAATATTTCATTTTTAGTTTATGTAATTTTTACTATATGTTACACTTATGCTGGTACAAGTAATTTTTTGTTTATGCCATTTTTGGCATATTTTTCTATTCGTTGTATAAGTTTAACGATTTTTTCTGAGTGAAAATTCATTTCTTCTGCTGAAATAGGGTCGAGTAACTTAAATATTTTTAGTTCCTGGATTTTGTAAAGATTTGGATTATTTGGAAATGTGGCTCATGTCACGTTGACAACATTGAGACAGGAGACTGCCAATATTTTCAAATTAACACACTTTTTATTAAAACAACAATTTTAACAAGAATCAAAACTTTCCTTTTTAAAGAAAGTTAGTGAAAACCCGGGATAGAAAAAGCTAAGTACTAACTTGAGTGACTCGCTGAAGTTTCCGACAGCGAAGTGTAGTTTAGCCAAGAGTATCCAGGAATCCAGATGTACACCAATCTTTGCGGCATCCTCTCCTACGAATGATGTTAAACTTTCAATAGCATTATTGCTACGGAAAACATTTTATGGCTAATTTGACGTGACGTTTTGAACACAACTAGTTTATTTATACATAGGCCTCTCTGCTTTTAAAATTTAAGTAGTCTTTGTTACCTTCAGTTCTTTAAAAGAAATTTAGCCTTTGCCACAAACTCAAATTTTCTAATCCCTACATCTTTGAAACCTACTGTTCTAATCCTTTAATATTGCAAACTTAGATTATTTGATCTATCAAAATTTTTAATTTAAAATATCTAAGGTTGACGACATTGGGTTGAAAAAATACAGGGAAAGTTTGTGGCAAAGACTCAATTCCTTTAATCGAGAAATCAAACAAAAACCAATTTTAGAATTATTGACTCCTCTTACCCACTGTACGTTCCAGACAAGCCTTAGCATCCTTTAATCTCACATCTCTAGAACTCTCAGTGCTACTGTTCTCCAGAAGAGGGGGGAACTCCTCAACAAAATATTAATTTTCTAACCAATCTGTTCAGTTTTACATGATTTAGACTTTTACTAATAAAAATATTATAGAATGTATTATTGCCCATTTCTCAGTTAAGGAGGCTTTCAAACAACTTTCAAACTTCGAACCCGATATTTGGACAATTGACTTTTTTACATCACATGGAGGACGAATTTAATATTTTAAAAGCTAGAATCGTATTTTACAAGATCTTCTCATATATTTAGGATACTATAAAGTTATTACAGCTGGTCAGAAATCAAAATTGAAAATTTAAAAAAAAATATAAAATTTTTATCGAAATAAATACAAACGAAAAAATCGACATTTAAAGATCACCCTGTAGAATCTACAGTTTAGATTACTTTATACCTCTAAATGTTCTTCTAGTTTCCCTTCTCCAATAAGAAACCAGCCAAGTGCCTCATTTTGTTTATCTAAAAATTACGTCTCTTCACATTACAATTTCAACCTTTTATAAATAAAAAAAACTTTCACCATTGTTATATACCTTTGTCTTTAAGCAGGTTGGCAAGCTCGATTACTTTTTTCCAATTCCCTTCTTCTCTGGCTCTCTCAATATCGGTCTCCAGGGAACCCTAATACACAACAATTAGAAAAAGCAATGGCATGGTAGCAGTGCGATTTTAAAAGAACTTATTATTTTATTTGTTAGCTCATTTGTAATTAGATTAAACAGAGCTGAAAACTTTAGAATGAGATATCCTTAATCCCAATTACTTAATATGAGTATCCAATGGACACACTTTTGGTTTTCTTCTTGTTCTTTCTTGGATATAGTAGAGAAAAATCAAAAACAAAAAAGAGTCCCTCCCGTTTCTGTATATTAATCTTAAATGGCGCGCAAAATTTTAAATGTATCGGCTTCATTTACGCGACTCTGATTGGTTGAATTTTATAAACTTTTCAGGATACAAGTACAAGATTAAGTTAGTCGTCTCGATATAAAGAAAAAGAGACGATTAAGCATTAATCTCGATATCCACCATTCTAAAGTTTTCAGCTCAGTATATTTAAAAAGAAAGAAAAGATAAAACTGTATTAATTCCACTGCAAACTTATGCTCTTCAGTCCAAGTTTATCCCCATTATTAAATAAAAAATGTAACTTGGATATTGATCTCGTTTCGTTAATCTTCAGATTATTTTAATCTTTATCCACTAAAGTGCCTTAAATTCTACCAATCAGAGTGTATTAAGAAAATTATAAGTTTTCACAATGGATATTCAGATTAAGCGATTGGGATTAAGGGTATCCAGTCCACTTCTAAAGCTTTCAACTCAGAGCTGAAAACTTTAGAATGGGATATCCTTAATCCCGATCAGTTAAATAATCTGGAGATAAATAACAAGAGGAAAACTAACGTAATTTAATCTTGAGATTAAGAAAAAGAGGGGATCAAGCATTAATCCCGATATCCACCATTCAAAAGTTCCCAGCTCTGGAGATTAATAACAAGAGGATAACAAGCATTATTTAATCTCTAGATTAAGAAAAAGAATGATCAAGCATTAATCCAGATATCCACCATTCTAAAGTTCCCAGCTCTGAGCTCGTGACTTATTTAAGACAGAGAATCGTAATGAAACCTAGTATCGGAAGCCGGTCTGGCAGTTTTGTAGAAACCAATACTTCTGTTTAGAAATATTATTTCTTGTGATTTCTTTACATTTTTTTTGTTTTCTAATTTCTTTAATTAAAATAGACCTCAAAAAAGAAAACTTGAGATTCGTTCAACGATACTCTCTTAACTTTCATGCTCCTTGAATTTTATAGAATTAAACTGAATGCAAACGTCTTCTCCAGTGCAACCAATTGCACTTTTATTCAATTGACAATAATTATTAATAGTGGATTCTGCGTGTTACTAAAATTAGCTGCGTTCTTCGTTGCAAAAAAGAACTAACTTATTCGGACCCACTGAATGTATGACGAGCATTAAAAATAAATCTGAGCTTTTAAGTATTTCAAACTATTATTGATTTGTTTTTAAACTTACTGTACGTTTGCCTCGTGTTGACATGTTGAGATTGATTTATTGTTTCTCTTTACTTTGGTAATCTAGCAGGCTGGTCTTCCTGAACAATGTGTACAGCATTCATATTATTTTTATTATTATAATCTCTGTTTGTCTGTCTATCTGTTTGTTTGTCCGATCATAACACATACCTTGACCAGTTTGCCTCAATTTTTTATCGGGTATCCGGTGAGAACCACAAAGCTGTGGAAAATGAAGAACTGGTTTTACTAGTTACTTTCAAATCCCTTATTTAGTGAAATGTGTCCGTTCACCCTGCTCAATTCCTGTATTTCATGTTTTTTCTTCATTGCACTATTCAAAGTCATAAATGCAGTCTTTAAGACTCTATTATTTATTCTCACTGTACAATAGGGGACCCAGTCCACAGTATAAATAGTACATACAGGCCTCAGTTCAAAGGACTTACCCATTTGATCCTCAGTCTTTTAAGGTTGTGGAGTAACAGCATATTTGTTATAAAAAAGTGGACAAGTCGAGACATGAACCTTTAACAATAATACTTTCACTCACATAATATTTATTTGTCCAAAAATATCAAAGAAACTTTAGTTACGCCATTTTATAAGAAGTATCGTAGAAAAGATAATACATGGAGAAGTGCCAGGCGTTGCCCATGCAATGTAAAACATTTTACTTTGAAAAAACATCGATTTTTGAAAAAAAATTCGTTATTTTAGCCCATTTTACCCCTCCAATTCAAATGGGTTTCCTATCCGGTCCAGCAGTTTGGCAAGCTATAGCTGACTCATATATAAGAAAATAAGTATTCAAAACATAATTTAAAGTTTTATTGCATCAACATTATATTTCATGCTATGCATTCTTATATATATACAAGTTCATGTCTCGACTTGTCCAGCTTTTTTAAAATAAATATCATGTTACTCCACAACCTTAAAAGACTGAGGACCAAATGGGTAAGCCCTTTGAACTGAGGCCTGTATGTACTATTTATACTGTGGACTGGGTCACCTATTTTTAGTTATAGTTAGTCATAGTTAGTTATATATATATAGTATATATATATATATATATATATATAAGCGAAGAGCTTTTAATACCTGAGGTGTGCTAGCTGGGCTGGCCTCCAGCAGTGTTCTGCGCCGGTTAGTTTCCCTTCAAACAAGGCTTTAGTTAATAAGAGAAATGATCTACTACAGGGTGTCCCAATATAAAGGGAATTGAGAGAAGACTTGAACACGGTCTTTGATTTCCGATAATTGATAAATGATATAAAGTGCATCAACAAGAGATGGAAAGTCTAATGAGCTTTCCAAAATGTGGGCTCTTTAAAATTGACGGAGATATTAAACATTTGAACAATTTTGATAATTTTCAATAAACTGGAATCTGCATTTCTTAATATCTCCGTTAAATTTAAAGATAAAAAATGGTTGACCACATTTTGAAAATCCCAAGACTAGTAGTTTTCGGTGTTAAATGTTTAGCCTGTGAGACCACAAAACGATTCTTACGAAATAATCCCGCATTGAACAAAGATGATATAAAAGTCGTCATTTAATTCCCATGTTTATTGGGACACCCTGTACACAATACCTCGGCAGGGGTTTCAGAATTTTTTTACTTAAAAGGGACTGTGAAGGAAAAATGGAATGGGGTATAGGCTGAAAGCTAATCACTGTAGTTCTTGATCGCGACCCATGAAAGTTTTATCTGATGTTCCTGTCTCGAGAAATTGATATAAAACTGTGTTAAAATTATACGAAAGTTCATATATATAAAATTGATAAAATTTTAAACTTAAATCACGTGACCAGAACTATCACCAATGGCAGAGCAGTATACTGATCACGTGTCTCCGCCTGTATCACTGCACTGCCATTGGTGGAATTTCTGGTCAAGTAATACGGACGTATAAATAATATTATGAATGAATTCTATTAAAAATAGAAATAACAAATATAAAAGTAAACCTAATTTAAAATTAGCTTTCTCTGGGATATCATCGTTTTCAGATTGGTTGCTTATTTGCTGAATTTGATCTTTTTAAACCTACTTCTTTTATACAAAATTGTATATAAATTAATTTTCGTATAAATTTGACAAAGTTGTAAATCAATTTATCGAGATAGGAACATCAGATATAACTATCATGGGTCGCGATCGAGAGCTAAAGTGATTAGCTTTCAGCCTATACCCCCTTTCATTTTTCCTTTACAGTCCCTTTAAGTGACAGCTATAAAGACCTCATATATCCCAGATCCCACTTGACAATGACATTACAGTTGAGAGTATACTACTTGTGAACAAATAAATTCTGTATATTTTTCTATATATATATTATATAGTACTTTGCTTGTTTGTTTGTTAGTTTGAATCGATAAAAGAGCAACAATTAAAAGTTAAATTCGAAGATGGACGTGAAGCGCCATGGATCGGGCCTGGAATCCTAGTTTATTAAATTCTATTAGTACAATTAAATATTTCTTTATAACATCACTTTAATTTAGCATAAAATTATGTTGATTCAATATTGCCAGGAATCCCTTTGGTGAGCAGGATCATGCTTAAGAGAAGCAAAAATAATATTCAAACAGATGTTTTCATTTATTATGTTTTTTTTTCAAGTTAACAGTTTTTAACTATGTTATACACGCTGATTCGGTCTTTTCCCAAAATTTGTTAAGTTATACTACAAAAAATACTTTTTTGAGAGGTTTGGATGTGTTCTTACTTGAGACAGTTTTGGTGAACCTTGTTTAGTCTGTCCTGAGCAGAACTAAGAATATTCTGAACAACTACAACTCTCTTCTTACTGATGTTCAGCTTACTGATGTAACTTTCTAAAAAAAAACAAAATACAATTTGTTGAACAGTTTTGGCATTGTTATGAAAAATAAATACGTTTGAATGATTTTTAAAAACATAAGAATAAAGCAGGAGCAAACACGTATTCAATGGCCCCCACCGTATCAGTGAAATCTATGATTTCCAGGGTGAGCCCACATAGGACAGATAACAAATCTAAGCCCCCCCCCCTGGCCACTGGATAAATTCCTAAATACGCCCCTGAGCAGGGGTATAATACCCTACCTAAATCAACAGGACAGGATTGTTGATCAGATATATTCTTGAGTTCAGCAGCAAGTGCTTCAATCTGATCCTTCAACTCGGCTTGAGCCTCACGAGTTTTTTCAACCTTAAAACATGGATTAAAATCCACTAACATCCTAACAATGTGTACAGTGCACAGTGGTAGCCAGAAAAAGTCGATTAAACCTGTCGTCTGTTTTTCTTTATATTCTGAAAGTTCAATTTAATATTTTTAATAATTTCTGAGATGGACTTTAAAGAATTTGAGCCGCGGTTTAAATCTGCCAAAACCCGGTTTAAATTAAGCGCCAGCTTAAATCTTGAAACATTTGATACAATTTCAAGTGGAACCAACCTTATTTGAGCTGCGTCTCAATTTAGAGCCGCCACTCAAATTCTTTAAATTCGGTCACTGATTTTTTAAATTACAACTTGCGACTAGAATACCGTTTTTTTTCTAGTTACCCCTGTATTACTATTAAAATCTGTATTCTTGATTATTTTGTTGTTCTGTGATCATGTTCATCTGTCTTGTGTTCATCTGTTTTGTGTTTATCTGTCTTATATTCATCTGTCTTATATTCATCTGTCTTATATTCATCTGTCTTATATTCAACTGTCTTATATTCATCTGTCTTATATTCATATGTCTTATATTCATCTGTCTTATATTCATTTGTCTTAAAATATTCTGTTCATCTGTCTTGTATTCATTTTTCTTAAAATATTCAAATGTCTTATATTCATCTGTCTTAAAATATTCATCTGTCTTAAAATATTCTGTTAATCAGTCTTATATTCATTTTACTTAAAATATTCAAATGTCTTATATTTTATCTGTCTTATAACATTTATCTGTCTTATCCTTATTTATTATTAATACGCCTTATTCATTTTTCTATTATCCTTCTCTGTTTGAGTCGCTGTCTTATCGTCTAAGATTATTTATCTTCTATATTTTACCATCTTGTTACAGAAAAATATGAGAACATTTTTCCTTTTTTCAACTTAATTGTTTCATTTGATTTTAATACTACCTGAAGATCCAAAGTATCGATACTCGGCTTCAATAAGTTTAATAATCCCTGAAAATTATATAATCTAAATATATACTTTGCTTGTCTGTCTGTCTGTTTGTCTGTTTGTATCCAATAAACGTCAAAACAGCTGAACCGATCAGGCCCAAATTTTATGTGAGACCTCACATGACCCTAGGGACCAAAATTTCAAAAATTAGCATCCAACCAAATTCGATATTCGTTGAATTTTGAAAATCCACGAATATTTTTATGTAAAATCCCCGAACTTTTTTTGTAATTGTTTTACAATGTATAAAAAAAATGTTCCCAATTGAAATAGAAGATGGACTCGAAGCGTCCTAAAATCCTAGTTATTTTATATTTAAGATTGAGTTGTTTTCCGAAAATGTCAAAGGTTTTCTACATTTTTGTCTAATGCAATGGAACCTTAAAACTGTGAAAAAGTTAGAACAATATTTCAGCAATCTTATTAAGATAAATAAATAGTTTTACTTGTACGTTGCTAGAAAATCAACTTATTTAGAGAAATGGGTTTGTGTACACTACACAGTGCACAGTTTTTATGTTTCATGTTCATTGGACTATTTATAATTTAATTCTTCCTATTCCACATTATCATGAACCCCCACTGTATATACATCTGTTAGAGTATCTCTGGTTATAAATCTAAATATAACAAGTAGTGTAAAGATCTATTTAATTTTGATGCGGATCCGAATCCAGATCCTGGATCTGCACGGGAAAAAAATGGATCCGGATTCAGGTTATTTCTGTCAAATTTTCTGACTTTTTAACAGAGCAGAATTTTGAACTTTTGTCTTATTTTTTTCGTTTATTTTTATGCTAAAACTTAATGAACTATTCAGAAATCAGGAAAATTTTATAATCTATCTTTTTTTCATATTACAGATTTGGGTTTTGTGAGTAAAGATTTTTCCTGTAGTTTTTGGTCAATATTTTTCCCCTTGGATCCGGATCCGGAACCAGGAAGCCAAAATCTTGCGGAACCAATGGATCCGGATCCTAAGCACTGATATAAAGTTGCAATCTCGTTTGTTTATCCAATCATAGTCAGGAAACCCTTGACCGATTTGCCTCAAATTTAGATTTGGGAATTCTGGAGATCCACGTGAATGTTCTAAGGATGGTTTTGAGATTCTGAGTTGAGTGGGTCCACTTTAAACGTGAAAAATCGAAATTTACGACAAGGTGTGGGTAAGCGGTGGGATAAACTGTGACTCCCTTTTGCCAGGCTGGGTTCCCAAGCTAGTATATTAAATATATATTTATGTACCTCTGTTAAAGTGTCTCTAGTTGGGTTCTCCTCGAATTCCTCTGATTGATCCTCTAGAGACGTCGCAGAAGAGTTGCTGTCACATCCAGCCATACTAATCATTTATTCATATTCATTAATCATCTAAACTTTTTTCAACATTCAGAGAATCTTTTATTTGATAATCTCCGTTTATAGACCAGGGTTTAAAACAAAATGTTCCCACTATTCAATAAAAATTTAGTTTTTTGGTTTTTGTAGAAAAAATATTTTTTTTTGTCAATTTATGAAAATTACCACTAATCACGTTAGCTAGTTCCCTGTGCTAGCTAAATGCAAATAAATATCTATTTTAAGAAAATGGATTAATTTCCTAACATCTTCTTTCACAGAGAAATCATTTATGATTCAGTTCTATCTGTAATAGTGACATGATTTCAAAATGTTCTTTAAATTAACAATTTAGATAATGTTACTCTGAGTACATTGTACTGGTAATGGAAGTAAAATATCGTACAAAAATAAAAATGTTGAACTCTTTAAATTCTGGTTTTGATCCATCCCAATAGGTGAAGCTTAAAAATACATAAACAAATCTTAATTGTTTAAATGGAATTAAGTCAACAAGGAAAAATAATATGTTGTTAAGTTTTCTGCGGTCAAGACAACTCAGTAAAGATTTTTTTAAAATCTTATATTCACGTTCTTCTCTGATTTTTAATCATACTTCAAGAAAAAATGTTTTGAAAAATCCCCACAAACAGTTTTTCACAGAACTATGATAATATATTGATGTTTGAAATCTTGAGATTTGTTCTGCTGTTTAGGATTCCAGGTTTGATCATGTTGATTAATGAGTTGAAATGAAGATCAGTTCAATTGATCAATTGATCAATTGATCAATTATCCTTCAGCTGAACAAACACAGTTTCCCTCGGAAATAACTGATGATCTTTAAGACTCATTTCCTAAATTTCAAAAATTAATTCAATGATAAAAATATAAAATTCCAGAATCAAGATGAAGTTCAAAAGTAAGATAAGAATAACGCTGTAGAAAGTTTTTTTATTTTCCATTCTGGAGCGAGATCTAAGAGTGCAAGAATATTGAAATATCTACTTAGATTTGTAATGCTTTATGAACAAGAATGAAAGAAGAACTTCTTATTCAGAGTTTAGGGGATGAAAAGAACAAAAATCTTTATTTCTTTGCAACCGGAAGTCGTATTTCAAACTATGAATTCTGCTAGTTCAAATAGTCATGAAATATCAAAGGTTTACTGTACATCATCAGGTTGCAAAGATAAAGGGATCTGAAAATCTAATGGCAAGTACTCGGTTCCTTTAATCCACTATATTTCAATTTATTAAATCTAAGAAAATGGACGAATTAATTCAGTTTGTTCCTGGTCAAGCTCTGAGATTACTCTTCTAGGAAAGTTTGTGACTATCTCGTGGTCTTCCAGATCAAACCCTTTGGAACCTACAAACAGTACCAGCGCCTGAAAATTTATAAATATAATTATAATTATTATGTAGTTTCGAATACTTCCTGATGCACAAGTGACATACGACTTTGTGACCTCAGAGCGCTTGTTGTTTAGATTTTATAAGTACAAGGTAAAACGAAGGAATTTATCCGACTATATTTAGATGAGCTCTTGGAACTTTGAAGAACCTTTTTGTGATTCACCACTCACAATTTTTAAAACTAGAAGTAAAAAACTTATTTTATTCTTAAATATTTGAAGTATTAATGTTTCAGAGTGATTATGCAGTGATAATCGGCATAAGTTTTGAATATTCTTCTAACCTTAAAGGTCAAAAATAACTTTTATAAACATTGATAAAATAGAGTAAATTTGAGCATTAAAATTTGAGCATAGTCCGAAAAAGGCAAAAATTAAACATTTTAAAAACTGTGCAGGTTAAAGTGATAATGAGGACTGATCGGTATTTAAACAAGAAGGATCAAGGACTCAACTGAGAAAGGATTCGGGATCCACCTATAAACGGATCAAGGATTCAACTAGTCAAGGATCAAGGACTAAACTAATCAAGGATCAAGGACTCAACTTATCAAGGATCAAGGACTCAACTAACAAAGGATCAAGGACTCCACTAAACAAGAAAAGCATCATTTAACAGGATAAGTCTAGCCTGGATGTTGCCAACGTAAGTCTTTGTGTGATTATGTATAAATGTTCTAAAAAATTAAAGATCCTCTGCATTTTAATCAAAGACTAAAGATTCCTTATTATGCATTAATTTTAAACTGATTAAAAACTTAACAAAAGAAAAATCTAAATATTTTAAACTCTAACCTTTTTTCTAGATTGGCAAATTCTAGGAAGGATATATTTTAAACATAAGTATGTAGATCGTTATTGTATAAAGATTTTAATATTATATTATTTAGGTTTTTTGATCGCTCAAAAACTTATAATTCCAGATGAGCGCATATGAAAAATTGGCTTTAAAAATGGCAGGCTGGTCATTCTGCGGATAAAATATCAAGAAAAGGTGGGATATTTTCACAATATGTTTGCCAATGCAAAATGATGGTGGGTTTATTATCATATTGTTCATATTTTTTTGTTTCATTGTTCTGATATTTTTTTTTCATGCATAAGAAAAGAAACAGACTATTTATTAATAAGATTATTGAATACCACTGAGACTTAATGTTTTTTTTTCAAATTTTATCACATTATTAACAATTTTTCAATTGAAAAAATACTGATGAGATAAAATTGTTTACCGTACAGGGACTGTAAGCGTGATATCAAATGACCTTCTATGCAAAGAACGGGTCACTTGGGTTTAGATTGTACGTGACTCAACATGCACACTTCACAGCGCACACTTGAATTTGCAGATGAATACAAGTGGGTTCCGATAAGATAAAACACACTTATCTCTGTACTCGGCGAACACACAACGGGTTTAAGGGTACCGTTGTAAATCGAGTGTTGTCCTCTTCGCATTGAGGAACGAGGGTCACTTGAGATTACGCTTACAGTCCCTTACCTTAAGTTTGCTGGTGGCAGGCGGATTCCAAGGATCTTTTGAACCATCAGGAAATCTAGAGATTGATTTTTGTAAAAAATCGAATTGGGAAAAAATCGAATTTAAAAAAAGTTCAATTTTTGAAAAAAAAAATTCGACTGGAAATTAATTAAANTTGGATCAATGGAGAATCCTGGAGAAAGGTTGGATCCAGGGAGAATCCTGGAGAAAGGTTGGATCAATGGAGAATCCTGGAGAAAGGTTGGATCCAGGGAGAATCCTGGAGAAAGGTTGGATCAATGGAGAATCCTGGAGAAAGGTTGGATCCAGGGAGAATCCTGGAGAAAGGTTGGATCAATGGAGAATCCTGGAGAAAGGTTGGATCCAGGGAGAATCCTGGAGAAAGGTTGGATCAATGGAGAATCCTGGAGAAAGGTTGGATCCAGGGAGAATCCTGGAGAAAGGTTGGATCAATGGAGAATCCTGGAGAAAGGTTGGATCCAGGGAGAATCCTGGAGAAAGGTTGGATCAATGGAGAATCCTGGAGAAAGGTTGGATCCAGGGAGAATCCTGGAGAAAGGTTGGATCTATGGAGAATCCTGGAGAAAGGTTGGATCCAGAGAGAATCCTGAAGAAAGGATGGATCGGGGCAACGGTGGGCCATAAGAGAATTTATTTACTGTACACAAATTCATTCTGGAATTCACAATGAACTCGGTTTCGGTGACTGAAAACTTGCTTAGCGGTCTGTTCACATTCAATTTAATTAGGCTTATGGCGAAACAATAATTTACAGTTTCGACATGAGAGCAGGGGGAGGAAGTAGCCCAGGCATGACTAGTTTGGGTAAAACAGACGTCAGCCTGAATAGGGTTAACATAAATGAAAATTGTTTAATACCGTATTAAAATGCTTGTTAATGGATCGTCTGTTGATCCGAGATACTTCTTCCAGGACTCATCTCCTCCACCATTCACAGCCTTGCAGGGTTCTCCTTTCTCCGGTTCTCCGGTTCCTTCTAACCTACCATTGACAGGGTTGGATCCGGTGTCTTCTAACCTGCCATTGACAGGGTTGGATCCAGGTAGAAGATTAGAATCCGACTCATCCTCCCACCCTCCTAAACTGATATCATCCTCCTCTTCCTTAATGTTATCAAATATCAGAAATTAATTTAAGTTTAGGATTTTCAAACCATTGAAGTAAAAAATAGAACTAAAAGGCAATGTTGTTGCAAATTCAAGTGATCCCTTTTTTTACAAAGTTTCCCTTTAAACCAATAATGTGAAAATTGAAAATATTTCATTTTTAACGATAAAAACCCATAAATATTTCCTTGACACTTGATAGTACTTACTTGATAGTACTCCCTTGATAGCACTCCCTTGATAGTACTCCCTTGATAGTACTCCCTTGATAGTACTTACTTGATAGTACTCACTTGATAGTACTCCCTTGATAGTACTCCCTTGATAGTACTCCCTTGATAGTACTACCTTGATAGTACTCCCTTGACAGGACTCCCTTGATAGTACTCCCTTGATAGTACTCCCTTGATAGTACTCCCTTGATAGTACTCCCTTGATAGTACTCCCTTGATAGTACTACCTTGATAGTACTACCTTGATAGTACTCCCTTGATAGTACTCTCTTGATAGTACTTACTTGTGGGTTTGAAGCTGCCAGAGTTTCCACCAAGGATGCTTTAATAGCTGCCGCAAGTTGAGCCTCTTCATCCATATCAGCTACATGGTCTGTTCGCATTCTTTTCCTGTATTTGGTTTTATTAACATTCAGATATAAAATCATGGAAGAAGGGATGTAATAACGGCAAAATCCCTCATCATATTCATTAGAGAAATTTTATTTTAGATGTTTAGCTTTTGTGCATTTAAAATGGTTAATCGAAAATAAAAATCTAATGCAGCATTGTAGTAAATACAATTTTAATTAAACTAAACTAAAGCAGTGTAGCTCAGCGAAATTGTTAAGCGGAAAAATAGTCTATCATTACACAATACGCCTAACCGGTTTTTTTTTCTTAGAAATAATCTTTTTTTTAAAAGATATGATATGGAAATGCCATTGAATTATGAAATGTGTTGGGTTAAGAAATAATAATTGGATTATAACTTGGATCAACAAATTAAAAATGCCTAAAACCTATAATCTATATCCAGTACTCCCTTGATAGTACTATCAANACACAATGTTAGACAAGAAAAGCAATGTTATGACATACTCCGATATTTATTGATATATTTTGATTTTAAAAACACATTAAGAATTATCTGTCTCGAGTAAATATTAATTGTTTGATGATTTGAAAGGAAGACGACATTCAAGAAGAAATATTTTTTTTTGCCTTTACCCATTTTAAAATATACATTCAAGGACTAAATGCGTATTTTAATATATTTCAATCAATAATTTTTCATGTTTTAACACTGCTTTTTATGTCTAACATTGTGTTAAAATGATTAAAAGTTTAGGGGTCGGTCTTACAATCTTTATCTGACCAAAAATGCTGAAGCTATTGTAGTTTTTCTAGTGAACAATTTCTTTAATTGTTCCTGGAGCATGAACACCGGCCAGTCACTTTCATAGAAAAAACCAAACTAAAAAATCTATTTTCCAAGAGAAAAGAGTTGATAGCCCATGCATTCTAGATCAGACAAAGATTTAAGGGTACCGTTGTGAATAGTACATGTTACTTTAGACTATGAATAGAGGTTTACTTAAAATTACGTCAACAAAAACTGAATTTAAGGAATTTGAGCAGCGGCTTAAATTTGAAACGCGGCTCAAAAAATGGTTGGTTCCACTTAAAATTGTAGTCAAATGTTTCAAGATTTAAGCAGGCGCTCAATTGAAACCGGTTTTTGGTGGATTTGAGACGCGGCTCAAATTCATTAAATTCGGACTCAGTACCCAAGTTTTACTTTCTGTCTAAAACTTAACTAAAATTAAAATTTGATTATAAAAAGCCCACCTGTTCTTGGATCTATCACTGCTATATATGGCCACTGAGAAATCTGAAAACATAACTGTTAATTTAGTTGTATATTTAGAGAACTAACGCAGGGGGGGGGGGGGAAC